TCCATGGGGGAAAGAGAGGGCCAGTCCTCCAATGTGATCCATGGGGGAAAGAGAGGGCCAGTCCTCCAATGTGATTTCACAACCTCAGAACTGCAGCGGAGGGTTAGCAAGGAGGCAGCTCTGATTTGAGGACAGTAAGAACAAGGTAGTATTTATTGAGTAGCTGTAATTTACTTAACCAGCTTTGTACAGATGGATTTTGACTTGTCCTGGTTTTGTAAACAATGCTGTAGTTAAGACCCTTGGCAACTCCTTGTGTCTTGTATGTGCAAGTATTAAATTACTTTCTGGAAGAATATGTTCACTTGAAATTTTGATAACTGCAGCTTTACCTTCTTACTTCCCATCAGTGTGTAAGGAAACTTTAGTACCCATGCCCATGCTAATACTTTGTACATTTCCAATCCTTGCAAAACTGAGGGCGGGGTAAGGGGGCAAAAAAGTTCCAGTTTGTATCCTTAGTTATCTATAGGAAACTGTACTGTTAACCCAAAGATGATGTCTTTCTGGTGGTTTGGTGTCAGGAGAAAAAATGAGCACTGTTTTCCTGTGTGACTTACAGCCTCTAGAAACCCACTGGAGGGTCAACGACAGTCAGCTCTGACTTCATGGTAATGAGTTTGACTGAACTGTTAGTGAGATTGAAAGTATTTTTTCATATAAGCCTGAGAATAGCATATCCTTTGCCAGTTTAAATAAATTGGCCAGGTGGGTACTGTCATTTGGTTCTTTCTTAATGATTTATTATTCTTTCTGGATTAAGAAATGATCCCCCTTTTTTTAAATGTTTAGCATGTTTGCAAGAATTAAGGCAAAAATTATTTGGGTTTTGTTTCTAGGTCATTCAATATTAACAGGGTTGCTACTCAAGCTGTGGAAGATGTTTTAAATATTGGTGAGTACCAAAGTCGCTATTGTATGTTGTCATATATTTCTGATATGCTGTACAATTTGTAATGAGCCCTGAGGGTTTGCTGTGTCACATGTTGCTCTGTTAACCAGAAGGCAAGTTCAAAATCAGTTGGTCCATAACAGAAAGATGAGCAGTCTCCTCCTGTTAAGATTTGCCGCCTTAGAAACCAGGTGGATAGTTGCTATGAGTTGGCATTGACTTGACATCATTGGGTTTGGGTTTGGTACACAATATGTATGGACCTCGGTCGTACTGTGGTTAAGCAACTTGGATGCCAACCAAAAGGTCAGTAGTTTGAACCCATGCACTGTTTCAAAGGAGAAAGATGTGGCAGTTTTCTTCCATAAGATTGCTGTGTTATAAGCCATTGAGTAGGAGCTGATCCATAGCTTACCCATCAGCGGCTTTTCAGAGGCAAAATCACATAGGAGATTGCCCATCCTTCTCCCATGGAGCAGCTGGTGATGTGAACTACAGGCCTTTAGGACTATGGGGCAGCTCTGCTCTGCCCTATGGGGCCTTTCAGAGTCAGAATCAACTGACAGTAGTATTGGGGTTATATAATATTTGTATGTTACCTGTTATATGTAATCAACTATTTTGTATAATCAAGATGTTTTTCCCTTTCCTCTTTCAATAGCAAGAAGACAAGGAAATCTGAGTCTTCCATTGGACAGGAAATTGGTAGAGAAAGGTCAGTGGGAATTTAAATTAATCATTAGCATTATAATTGGACTGCATATAGATTTTGATTGTGATGTGAACTTGTTGAATTACTAAAAAAGTATAAACATTTTTTTTTACTCAAACATGTTTTTCAGGATAATATTGCTTTAAATAGATTTTAACAATGATAAAACTTAAAAGCTGGACTTTTATATTGTGATTCCTGGAAACTACTTGTAGGTGGTAGAAACATGCACAGCTGGCAGACAGGCAGTGCAGTATCTAAAGTCCGTGCAGCCTTGTGTGCTCCGCTTGGGAGGCGCTTCACTGAGCTGTGCACCCTGATCCCACGCTCACTCTGATGTGCTCTTTAACCTGCTCCTATTAGTTTTTCCCCAGTTATTCCCGGATTCCTTCTCATTTTGGGAGAAGGAACACTGATGCAATCTGAGGACCTGATTTCCAGTCCTAACTCAGCCAGTCTCTCGCTCATGGTCAAACTGGGCAAGACTGCTCCACCAGCGCCGGACGGTGAAGGACGTGGAACTACACTGCTGGTGTGTAGGGATTCTGCAAGTGTATTCCTTAAATTTTATTTTTTCAAAAGACACTTAAATTCTTAAATTCAAAACCATATTCATTAGTTTTGCACATCAAATTTCACACTGAAATCCACATATCCACCAGGATAATTTTAGTGCAGATGTCAAACTGAAGCTTTTCTTGAGATGTCTCTTCATTGAATGCATATATATTAAAATTTCAAGGTAAATTGTTAGAAAACGAGCAGCATGCACAAGCCTTTGTAGCTGTATTTACCTTCCTCTATAAGGATTTTCTCAGCACTTTAAAACCAAAGCAAAGTATCAGTCAACTCATATAGGACTCATATACCATCCTAAAATCCCTTTCAGTTTTCAGAAAGAGATTCCTCTCTCTTTCTTGATTTAAAACTTTTTTGTTGGCTTAGAAATTTGCATTAAATCTATATCAAAGAAAGGAAAATTAGGTAAATTTTAGTTATTGATGCTTCATTATATAACTTAAAACATAATATATAAAATAACTGACGTTTTTATCAGGTTTCTAAATTAAGTGCATATACAAAACATAATTACTGATTCTTTCTGTAACAAACATACTGGTACTTTACTTTGGATTAACATTCTTTTGAAGGGCTAACTGCCTTCAGGAGCAGCAGTGAGTGCTGACGGTGCAGCCCTGCCAAGCACATTTTGGAACTCTAAGAAGTTTCTTTCAGAAATTGTGTGTGTTTGTCCCTAAGAAGACATGGGGATTTTTTTGAGAATAAGAATTTATTGTTTTTTTAAAAAGTGCTAAATGATTCAAATGCAACTTGAGTAAATAAGGTAGATTATATGATAATACTAACATTTCTTAATATGTACATATGCACATAGATCTTTCTTTTCTTTCCATTTTTTGCTGTTTATTTTAATATATGCTCAGTTAAATGTTCTTTCATGCTTTATTTCCTTGTACAGTTATGTAGTCAGTCTGTGCTTTGCATGCCAATTCCCATGTGTCTAGATTCGTGCAAAAGCAGGTCTTAAGGATTTCTAAAACTGCCTTAATTGTATTTTAAAAAAAAATCATGTTGTTATTGTTGTTGACCACCTTCAATTTAAGCATGACTTATAGCGACCATATGAACCAAAGGCCTAAACCTCCTCCACAACTATCGACATTTATCCAAGTTCAGAGAGTTTCTGGAGGCATGTTATTTAGGAAGTGGATGCCACTCTTGCTGCCAAACCTATCACAGTATGTTGCTGTTGTTATGTGCCATTGAATCACCTGCGATGTATAGAGACCTAATGTACAGTAGCTCTAAACCCTTCCCTGTCCTGAGCCATCCTCACTAATTCTGACACACCAACCCTCATTTCCCAGTCACTGTATCAATCCATCTCATCTGGGGTCTCCCTCTCCTGTGCTGCCTGTCCACCCTTCTGAGCATGATGTCCTTCAGAGACCGAACTCTCCTGGCCATGTGCCCAAAATAAGTGAGGTGGAACTTCAAAATCTTAGCCTCCAAGGAGAGACTTGGTTTCACCCTCTCCAAGACAGACAGCCCTATTTGTTTTCTTGGCAGTCCATGGTACGTTCAAGACTTTTAGCCAGCACCACAACTCGAAGGCATCTATTCCTCCGTCATCCGTAGTCACTGTTCAACTCTCTGAAGCATAACAAGTAATTGAGAAGACCATGGCCTGAATTAGGTGCACCTTTGTATCTAGACTGACATCATTGCTCTTCAGCACTCTGGAGAGGTTCATAACAGCAGATTTTTCCAGTGCAGTTACTCTTTTGATTTTCCTAACTGCTGGTGTTAAGAGTGTTGATTGTGGATCCAAGCAAGCTGTAATTGCTAACAACCTCAATCTCTTCTCCATCTATTATGGTGCTGCCAGCTGGTCCAGTGGTGAGAATCTTTGTCTTCTTGATGTTAAGCTTCAATCCATATTGAAGACTACAGTCTTTGACCTATGAGTCTCCCTCTAATATTGATGCCACAGTTTTCTTCATAAAGCCCTGCTTCCCGAGTGATCTGTTCTGCATACAGATTGAAAAGGTTTGGGGACAGGATGCATCCCTGACACACTCCCTTATTTTGAACCATGCAATGTTTCCTTACTCTGTTTCCCTTATTTTGAACCATGCAATGTTTCCTTACTCTGTTTTGAAAACTGCTTTCTGGTCTAAATATACGTTTCATATAAGCATGATCAAGTGTTCTGAGATTCCCATTTTCCTCAGAGTTATCCACAGTTTATTGTGATCCACACAATCAAATGCCTTTCCATAGTCAATGAAACACAGACATTCTTCTGGTACTCTCTCTGCTTTTTGCTGATCCATCTGACATTGGCAATAATATCCCTAGTGCCACGGCCTCTTCTAAACCCTGCCTGTATTTCTGGTAGTTCTCTGTCATTTTCTGTTTAACTCTTAATGTTTAGACTGCATTTTGTATCGAAACTATTAACATAAAACTATAGTTTGAAATATTTGACATGGCATTAACTTGGTAGAGGAATATGGCAAATTAAGTTCCATATTTGAATACCTCTAACCTGATTCCTCTAGGAAGTTCTGGTGGCTTAGTGGTAAGGAGTTGTGCTGCCAACCCAAAGGCAAGTTGTTCAAAATCATGAGCCTCTCCATGGAAGATAGTCTCCTCCTGTGTGATTTACTGCCTCTGAAAACCTGCTGCTGGATGGTCAGCTAAGAGTTGTTTCTCACTCTGTAGTACATAACAACTGGTTCCTCAGAAGTCCCTGAGTTGGCCACGTGGTTAAGTTCTGGATTGTAGTCTGGAAAGTTAGGAAGTTCAAACCCAGAGTCACCTTGGACATGTTGTTATGTTGCTAAGTGCCGTCGAGTCATTTGCGACTCATAGCGACCCTATGTACAACAGCTCTAAACCCTGCTCTATCCTGCGCCAACCGCACCGCCTCTGACACACCCATCCCGATTACCCCAGTCACCAAATCAATCCATCTCATAGAGGCTCTTCCCCTCCTGCGCCCAAGCATGATGTCCCTCTCCAAGGACCCGTCCCTCCTGGCAACATGTCCAAAGTATGTCAGACGAAGCCCCAGAATCCTTGCCTCCAAGGAGTAGCTTGGTTTAATCCTCTCCAAGATGAATCTGTTTGTTTTCCTGGCAGTCCATGGTACATTCAGTACCCTTCTCCAGCACCACAGCTCAAAAGCATCCACTCTCCTTCTGTCCTCCCTAGTCATTGTCCAACTCTCTGATGCATAACAAGCGATTGCAAATACCATGACCTGTATCAGGCGCACCTTAGTCTCCAGAGAGACACTGTTGCTCCTGAGTACCTTTGAGAGTTCCCTAACAGCAGACTTTGCCATCGCGATACGCTTTTTGATTTCCTGACTGCTGGTGCCAAGAGTGTTGACTGGGGAGCCGAGTAAACTGAAGCTGTGAACACTCTCAATCTCTTCGTCATCCATCCTGACGCTGCTAATTGGTCCAGTGACGAGAATCTTTGTCTTCTTGACATTGAGCCTTAGTCCATACTGAAGGCTGCAGTCCTTGACCCTTCGCAGCAAGTGCATGAGGTCCTCCTCAGTTTCAGCAAGCAGGGTTGTGTCATCTGCATAACGGAAATTGTTAATAGATCTTCCACCAATCCTGATGCCACAATTCTCCTCATAGAGCCCAGCCTCTCGGATAATCTGCTCTGCATACATGTTGAAAAGGTATGGAGACAGGATGCATCCCTGGCATACACCCTTCCCAATTTTGAACCATGCAGTGTTACCCTGCTCTGTTCTGACTACTGCTTCTTGGTCCAAGTATAGGTTTCGTATTAGCACAATTAAATGTTCTGGGATTCCCATTCTTCTCAGAGTCAGCCACAGTTTGTTATGATCCACACAGTCAAATGCCTTTGCATAATCAGTGAAACACAGATAGACATTCTTCTGGTATTCCCTGCTTTCAGCCAAGATCCATCTAACATCAGCAACAATATCCCTAGTACCACGACCCCTTCTAAACCCAGCCTGGACTTCCAGCAGTTCTCTGCTAATCTTCAGTAGAATCTTGCTTGCATGTGAAATCAATGACACTGTTCTGTAGTTTCCACACTCAGTTGGGTCACCTTTCTTTGGAATGGGAACAAATATAGATCAACAAATATAGATAACAAAACCTTGGACATAGCCTAGGTTATTAACAAAAGATCAGAGCCATTGAAAACCCTATGGAGTAGTTTGTTTTGTACCCATGGGATTCCTATGAGTTAGAAAAGATCCAGTGGCAACAGAATCAGCAATTAAGAGGAATTAACAAAAACTAATTCCTCTATTACTAATTTTTGTGAGGATGGCTCAGGATAGGGCAAGGTTTCAATCTGCTGCTTTTAATAGGGTTGCTGAGGCTTGGAGTTGACTCAGTGACAGCTAACAGCATTGCTAATTACCAGCTTGACCCCTCTAAGTGTAGCTATTTCTGCTGTGTTGTGGGTGATGTGGTTGCTTTTGAACCTAATCCTCATAAGTTTATTTTTGTTTGTTTGTATTCATGGACCATGGAACTTGCCATGGAAACAGACTTGGAACACAACTGATTTTAGGATTGAGGATTGTATTGTGTGCTATCAAGTCAAGACTGACCCATACAGACCCCCTAGTGGATTTTCAGAGGCAGTAAATCACACAGGAGGAGATTATGCGTCCTTCTTCCACAGAGTAGCTGGTGGATTTGAACCTTGACCCTTTGCGACTACAGGGGAGCTTCTTAACATCTTTCTTGTTTGTATTGCATTTCTCAAAAATAATCATCTTTGGTTTGATTGAATGTACTAATGTCTTGGGATTTTTTTCCTTCTAGTAACAAATGAGTATAACGAATCACTGCTCTACAGTCCAGAAGAACCAAAAATTCTTTTCAGTATCCGAGAGCCAATAGCAAACAGAGTCTTCTCAAGCAGCCGCCAGCGTTGCTTCTCCTCAAAGTAAGCTTCTCAAGTCTATGTTTTCATCTCTTGTAATTATAGCACATACTTGGCTGTAAGCGTATCTCATTGCAAGAAATTTGCTCATTCAAACCTAGCCTAGTGGAAAAAGTAGAACCTGTGGAGCTAGTGGGCTATTGTGCAAACTGGCTAACAGATAATTCCTTTCCAACTCACTGTGCTGTTTTTAGAAACTAGAATTTGAGTGACTAGAAGAGTGACATAGGTGTTTAGGTTAGAGGATTTTTTGATTTTTAAATATTTCAAGACACAAATGATAACTATGAAAGAAAATGATTGGAAAACTACTTATTTTTTATAATCTCTGGAATAAAAAGCAGGATAAATATGCCTATAAAACTACATTTGTGAAACAATACATTTTTAGAGAAGGATTAATTACTTCAGGTTCTCCCTAAGTGTACACACACACAAGGCTATTGAGTTTCCTCTCCCAAGAAGAAAAGATGTACAAAAATGAATTCTTTATTTTGTAAAACTTCACAGTTGTCCAAACTAACGCAAAAGCCAGCTGTTATTATAAGAAGTCATACACTTCCTGGCAAGCAAAGCACAGTATAAGTACAAATCACTACGTATTGAGTCTATTCTTTTAATGAATTTATACAGTGTTTTTCTAGGAATGCACTGAAGAGGACACTTACCTTACTTAAAACACATTAATTTGAGAATGAATTTTGATAAATAAGCAACTGTATCTTGAATTTGGTAAGACTTGAACATACCATGGACCACCACGAAACAAATAGGTCTGTCTTGGAGAAGGTGATACCCAGCTTGATAAATTGAACTATATTAGAATTAAGAACTTCTATTAAATAAAAAAGGCAGGGTAGAGAATAAAAAAGATATTTCCTATATCTAACAAAGAACGTCTGTCTAGAATAATATTGTTGTTGTTGTTGTTGTTGTTAGGTGCAGCCAAGTTGAGTGCAGCTTAATGACCTAGTGAACAGCAGATCTGAACCCAGGCCTTTCCTGTGCTAGCCTCAGTAGCTCTGGCATACTTGAGCCCATTGCTGCAGTCACTGCCAATCCTTCTTGTTGAGGGTCTTCCTCTCTTTAGCTGACCCTCCACCTTTCCAAGCATAATGTCCCTTTCCAAGGAATAGCATGTCCTATAATACGCCAAAAGTATGTGAGACAAAGCTCCAGCTCATATTCTTTGGGCATGTTGTCAAGAGGGACCATTCCTTAGAGATGGACATCACGCTTCGAAAAGTGGAGGGACAATACCCTGGATGAGATGGATTGATACAGTAATGGGGGCAATGGGGAGAGGTGTGTTGGAGTCAGTGAGACTGGCTCAGGATAGAGCAGGCTTCAGAGCTATACATAGGATCACTATGAATTGTGGGTGACTCGATGGCACATAACAATAAATCCAAACTGTGGGGGGTTTTTTCCCCTTTGGAAGCTAATTTTTAAAATAACTACATAAACTGCATTTTGAGTTTAAAATTAGGAAAGCATTCTGCATTTTAAATATGTTGTTCATTCAGGACAGGGCAGGCTTCAGAGCTGCTGTACATAGGGTCGCTACGAGTCACAGGCAACTTGACGGCACATAACAACAGAAAGTAATGTTGTTAATGTGCCATTGGTTCGACCACAACTCATAGTGAACTATGAACTCACAGAACGACAGCTCTGAACCTTGCTCTATTCTGAGCCAACCTCACCATTGCTGACACACCTGACCCCATTGCCACAGTCACTATGTCCACCCATCTCGTCCAGCATCTTCCTGTGCTGACCCTCTACCCTTCCAAGCCTGATGTCCTTCTCCAAGGACTGGTCCCTCTTGGTAATAGGCCCAAAGTATATGAGCTAGAGCTTCAAAATCCTTGCTTCCAAGGAGCAACTTGTTTCACCCTCTCTAGAACAGACTTGTTTGTTCTCTTAGCAGTCTATGGTATGTTCAGTAATCTTCTCCAGCACCACAACACAGAGGCATCAATTATTGTTATCCTTATTCATTGTCTAGCTTTCAGATGCATAGCAGCAATTAAGAAGACCATGGCCTGGATAAGGTGCACCCTAGTCTCTAGAATGACATTGTTCTTTAGTACTCTGCAGAGGCCCTTGACAGCAGATTTTCTAATATAACTTGTCTTTTGATTTCCTTACTGCTGGAGCCAAGGGTGTTGACTGTGGATCAGAGTAAGATGTAATCATTAACAACCTCAGTGTTTTCTCCATCTATCATGATGCTTTGGAAGCAGGAGCAGCATCTACTTCCTAAACAGCATGTCTCTGGAAACTTTGATAAATGTCGACAGTTGTAGAGGGGCTTCAGGCATTTTGTTCATGGGGTCACTATGAGTCATGCTCGACTTGAAGGCAATCAACAACATCATGATGCTGCCAACCCAAAGGTACATGGTTAGAATCCACCAGTAGCTCTATGGGAGAAAGCTGGTAGTGTTTATTATGTCTCTGAAAACCCTCTGGAGGATCAGCTATATGTTAGTTTTGATTCAACAGTACATAACAACAAAATATGTACTTTGGAAAATGGTTGAGATGTTATGTACCAAAGTTGACCATTATACATTATGACCAAAAATTCTTGTGTGAACCAAAAGGCATAGTCATGAATATTCATAAGAACACTGCTTCTAATGTTCCAAAAAAAAAAAAGCTTGTGAATAATAAAATAGATAAGTAAATGTTGATGCTTTCATATGGTATATATAATTACAGCAATGAAGAGGAACAAACTATTGTTAAATGTAATATCATGGATGAATTTCACAGCCATACTGTTGATCAAAAGAACAAGTGTACACATGACATTCTTCCATTTATATAGTTACACTGCACACAAAATTATTACTAGTATGATGATGATGTAAGTTAATAGACAGTTGTTATACATACTTGGGAAGGGAGTAGGGTACTTACTGGAAGAAGGGAGATACGGAGTTGCTAGAAAGCTAGATCGCATTCTATATATTTTGATTTGGGTCATAGTTACATTAATTTGCTCATACACTCCTGATTTGTGCCATTAATGTCATAAAATTCAAATATCTTGGGTAACATTGTTATTCCAGACATACATTAGTGAGTAAGCTTAGAAATTAAAAGATGAATTGCATTGGAAAAGGCTGCTGTCTGAGACCTTTCCAAAGTACTGAAAAGCAATATCATTCTGGAGACTAAGGTGCACCTGATCCAGGCCATATTCTTTACATTTACTTGCTATGCATCACAAAGCTTGACAATGATTAGGGATGATAGAAGAATTGAAGAGTGTTGAATATACCGTGGACTGCTAGAAGAACAAACAAGCTCATCCTAGAGAGGGTAAGACCAGGCTGCTTCTTGAAGACAAAGATTCTGAAGCTTCATCTGACATACTTTGGACATATTGCAAGGCAGGACCAGTCCTTGAAGAAGGATGAAATGCTTGGGAGTGTGGAGGGACAAGTTGAGAGAGGAAGACCCTCAATGGATTGATTCAGTGACTGGGGTATTGGGGGTAGTTGTGTCAGAGATAATAAGATTGTCACAGGATAGAGCAGGGTTTAGAGGTATTGTACATAGGGTTGCTATGAGTTGCAGGTGACTCAGTAGCACATAACAACAAGCTTAAGCTTAATGGAACTCATAGGCTATTCTCATGACTGAATACTAAAAAGGTTATTGCTTCTACAATTATTAAAGTATTCAACAAGAATATGTCTGTTTTCAGGTAAATTCTACTTAATTTTGAGCCTTAGATAACATATTCATTATATAATCTTTCAACAAAGGCAATTTGACTTTTAAAAGCAAGGCTTTTAATTTGGCTACTAATTTGGCTAAAGACTCAGTTTGATCTAAACTACTATTTAGTGTTAAGAAAAATGTTAAGATGTAATTACTAGCTGCTTGTTTGTGCTTTAGGGTTTGTGTCCGTTCTCGTTGCTGGGATGCCTGTATGGTTGTGGACGGAGGAACTTCTTTTGAATTTAATGATGGAGCAGTTGCCTCAATGATGATCAACAAGGAAGATGAACTTCGAACTGTGCTGCTAGAACAGTGAAGGATTTTCTCAGATGGAAAATTTTGATTACATGAGAATTCTTCCTACTGTGGAACCAAACTGCTGGTCATAAAGCTACTGTTTTTGGTTACTATAGAAACTGGTTGCCCCTGAGCTCACAGGTGACCAAGAAAGCGAGAACTCTCCTTCTTCTGTTGAATTGTAATAGAAAAGATGCCCACTAAGAAAAAGAAATAGACTAAATGAATAGATGGACTAAATAGATGGATGGATTGATACTAGGGAAAGTTCTTTATGCTTCTAACTGGGAACCATGAGTGCCAATAGTTTTGGTTTGGTTGTTGTAAAGACTGACTTTTTGAAATCTAACTGTACAGGCTATTTTTTTTCCCCCATCCTGCTACCTTTTCCTTGGTTTTTGAAACTGGCCACATCAAATACATATCATTTAATTAGTGCATATTTTTTATAGAACCTTAATAACAAAGATTTAAAAAGAAATTTGATGTTGATGGAGAATTTTGATAAATCCTCATCTAGTGAAATAGGTAAATGTGCTTTTAAACGTACTAAGAGATTTTTTAATTACGGAACAGGTGATGCTGTCATGATGCTTTGTAAATTTAAAACGTTTGGACTATCACTTTTGAAGTTATTTATAGATCAATATTTTATATTGGTTGGCTTAATTCAGATTCACGTCCACACTGCTGAGTGAAATGCACTCAGGACAGAATCCGTGGGGTTACCATGTATTGGCCACCCTGTAGCTATTTTAGGTCACAGGCATTGATTTCTATCTCCTTTAGATTTTTGGGTGTTTTTAAAAAAATGATTTGAGTTTAAAATTCACTAACATGGATCAAGGGATGAAAGTGATAAAGTAATGAGACATGTGTTACAGGTGTTTGGTAAAACTTGAAAAAGATCCATCTAGTGTTAATTGTATTATCAGAAAGAAAATGAATTCTTTAGCAAATAAAATCTCCACCTCTGTCTTGGAATTGCCTTATCCAGTGGTGTGGTTTTACTTCGCTTACATGTATTATCTAAAAGGCTTGCTTTCACTCCATCATGATTAGAGAATTCCTTTATTTTTGGAGGAAATTCTTTTATCTAATTCTTGACCTAATAATAAACAAGCATAAAGTTGATATTTTAAAAAAAATATCCAGAGCTTTGGTGGCCTAGTGGCAAGAAGCTGCACTGCAATCCCAGAGGTATGCATTTCGAATTCACCAGATGCTCTGGTGGAGATCAGGAGGGGGAATCTTCTCTTGTACCAGTCAGATCCGATTTGATGGTACACACACACACACACACACACACACACACACAAACACACACACACACACACAAATAATAAAAAAATTTAAAAAAAAGTAAATCTGGTAAAAAACCCAACTCCTGTTGCTACCTAAGGAAACCATTCTCAATGCCATTTATTCAAACTTTTTTCGTGTTCAGCATCTCACTTGTTGGTGAGAGTGTTTGTTCATTGACAGGTATTTTTCTTTAGCACTCACTTTGTGCCATGTACTTAATGTGCCAGGTGCTGGATATAACATTGATGAATTAAGACACTATTCTTATGGAACCTGAATCTAGTGAGCTCAGAAGTAAATTCTATGAAAGTTAGGTTGTGTATTCAAATTTAGTGAGTTTAATTTTAATAGCACTATAATTTTTTTTTTTAAAAAACCCAACACATTAGATTAGGTTCTTGTATTGTGCAGGTAAGGTAAGTGCTTGTTTACTCACCAGAAAGTTGGCAGTTTTAACCTACCCGGAAGCACTCTGAGGGAGAGGCCTGGCATCACCTTCCAAAATCTCTCCGCCCTGGAGACCTTTTAGTAGCTGTGAGTTGAACTGACTCAACAGCTACTAGCTGCATACAAAGGGAATCCAGCTTTTGATATCTACACAGAATAAAATGCTTTTTAATTTAGAAGTATCTACAAAGACACACATAACAAAAAGTTTACATAATGCGTCAGGTAGAAAAACAAATTGAAAGTAAGGGTTTTATTCAGAGCTGGAGGTAGTTCTGGTTGAATTTATAAAGGAAAAGCTTAAGATACCATTTTATAATGAAGTGAAATTCTACACTGTAGAAACTCCCCTAACAAGTTTTAAATACCTTTTAAAAAGTGCCAATTACGTCCTTAATGTTTTAAGTCTGATTGTCCAAAATGGTACCGTGGCTCTGTTACTATATGAAGGGAACCCACTGTGTAAAATAGTTCCTAAGCCATATTTTAAAGAGTTGGAAAATATTTTGAGTGTTTTACTTGTGATAAAATGTCTAACATTTCTGCTTGGGGTTGGGAATTTGTAAGAGATAATGAGATCCAAGGGATGTAAGAACAGCAAAAATGTTTTCAGGAATGGCTTAACCTTTTAATGGCAATGATATGTGAATAAAATGAAACCGTTTATCACTTCTTTTGTACTTCATTTCTTATAGCACTCAACTCTAATGAGGCCATTGTTTGATAATTGGGTTTTCATAAAACATCCTTTTCCTTCTGCTTTCACTATGTATTCTGTGTTAACTGACTTTTCATTGGCTGGACATGTTGATGCCTGTGAGTCAAGCACAACTCACAGCGTCCCCATGAACAAAAGGCCTGAAGCCCCTCTACCACTACCAACATTTATCAAAGTTCAGAGTTCTGGAGGCATGTTACTTAGGAAATGGATGCCATTCCTGCTTCCAAACTTGTCATAGTATGTTATTGTTGTTATGTGCCATTGAGTCGCCGGTGATGTACAACCACCCTATATACAGCAACTCTAACCCCTTCTCTGTCCTGAAACAGTCTAATTCTGACATACCAACCTCCATCGCCCCAGTTACTGTACAATCATTCTCATCTTGGTCTTCCTCTCCAGCGCTGTCCATGATCCCTTCCAAGCATGATGTCCTTCTCCAAGGACCAATGTCTCCTGGCCATGTGCCCAGGAGCTTAAGTGAGCTTAAGTGAGGCGGAGCTTCAAAATTCTAGCCTCCAAGGATAGACGGTTTCCTAATATTTAATCAGCTAGTAAAGAATTTATCTGATAAATGTAGACTCTTAATTTGACTTATTTTTGTTACTTCCTATGTATTTATATATTTCTGGCCCCAGTGTATCAAATTTGAATACATGTTATCCTAAATGTATATGCGTCACATAAAGAATTACCATTAATTTTATTTTTAAATATCAAAATAAGCAGATAGGACAAACTTTTATCTACTGCAGAGTATTGAGTTTATTTGAAAAAGTTACTGGAAATAAATTTAAGCGTATCTTTTGGTTAAGAAACCCTGATGGCACAACTAGTGAACACCTGGCTACTAACTGAAAGTTTGGCTGTTTAAACTCACCCAGCAGCTTTACAGGAGAATGGTCTGGTGATTGTCCCCCCAAAAAACCATTATGGGACAGTTCTACTTTGTCACATGGGGTTGCTACAAGGCAAATATTACTGGGCAGAAACTAACAGTGTTTACAGTCCATTTGTACAAATGTTCTGTGCCAACTCATAGTGACTCTGTGTACAACAGCTCTGAATCCTGCTCTATGCCAAGCCAATCTGCTCTATGCCAAGCCAATCTGACTCAGACACACTACTCTCGTTCCCCGAGTCACTGAGTAAATAGAATTCACTTCATTGTGCCAGGAAATCATATCATTATATTTCCAGATAAGTATCTAGCAAGATAATGATGCAAAAAATACCCTAGGGAAATGAGCCTAGGGATAATGTGACATGTAAATGATGCTGCAGAAAGCCCTGTGTATATATGGAGAAGGAAAACCTCTGTGTATATAGGGAGCTCTGGTAGCTTACTGGGTAAGTACTTGTGCTGTCAACCCACAGGCAAGTGGTTCATATCCAACAGCTGCTCTACAGAAGAAAGGCAATTTCATGAGCAATGTACAGCTTCTGAAAACCCAGTGGAGGGTCAGCTAGGACTTGGCTCTTACATAGACTTTATATACGGAGGTACAAATTAGAACAAGTATCTACTGTGGAGCTACTCTACCACAAAGAGGAATGTTGTTATGTGCCGTCAAGTCACTTGTGACTCATAGGGACCCTATTTACAACAGCCCTAAATTCTGCTCTGTCCTGTGCCATAACACTGTCTCCAATACACCCATCCCGATTACCCCAGTCACTGAATCGATCCACCTCATAGAGGGCCTTCCCCTCCTGCACTGTCCCTCCACCCTTCCAAGCATAATGTCCTTCTCCAAGGACTGGTCTCTCCTTATAATATGACCAAAATATATCAGACGGAGCCCCAGAATCCTTGCCTCCAAGGAGCAGCCTGGTATAACCCTCTCCAGGAAAAACCTGTTTTCCTAGCAGTCCATGGTACGTTAAATACTCTTCTCCAGCACCACAGCTCAAAGGCATCAATTCTCCTATCCTCCCTAGTTCGTGTCCAACTCTCTTGATGCATAAGTGACTGCAAAGACCATGGCCTGTATCAGACGCATGTTATTAGTCTCCAGAGACACCATAATTCATTAATTTCTTTTCTTAATGCCATCCATTATTGACCTTAACATTAAGAAATATCTTCTTACAGCCCTAGAAACTCAATTAAGGGTCATTCTGAATTGGAATCAACTTGATGGCAGTAGACATTAATGGGAAGGTCTTAAGTTTAAAGTGCCATACAGACCTAGTAGGTAAGGAGTTGTGTCACCAATGTAAAAACAAGTCAGTTTGAACCTATCAGCTGCTCCACAGGAGAAAGATGTGCAGTCTGGTTCTGTGTGATTTACAGCCTCTGAAAACCTGTTGGAGAGTCAGCTGGTGTCAGTTCTGACTCAGTGGTATATAAAAGCAGCAAGCTTTGTTCAAAGTGGATAACCCCGACTACTAGGAATACTGAAAAGATAAATAGAATGCTTCTATGGAGAATCATTTCATGAAGAGATGATGCTTAGAAGAGAGGACCTGAAGCAGGAGGAAAGAAACTGGCACCAAGTCTAAATTACAAACCAAGCTAGTCTCTTAACCACCTGACCAATCATTCAAACCCTTTGTCCACTGAAAGAAAATAAGTTTGGCAAAAAGCAATAAAAGCAGCTGTTTGAGACACTTTCTCGCATACTTGTTATTGTAATCCCTGTATCAGATGACCCTCCACACACTAAAGAATGACAAGGCTCACTGTAGCAAAATTGTTCTAGGAAATTGCCTCATAGCTAAACTAGTCAGCTACTCAAAGAAGATACAAATTGGAACTTAAAATCTATGAAAAAGAACTGTACCATTCAGGTCCTTACACAGGCTTACCAGCATTGCAATTTTTATTTTTCATTTTTAACTATTGATTTGACTTGGAGAAATAAAAGCTATACCTTTGTTATATTTATATAACTTATTGCAGCATTGCTGTCAAATTGGAACTGACTCAGCTGACCCTCCAGTGGGTTTTCAAAGGCTGTAAATTTCAAAGGCCAGTTTCTTTCCTCCTGCTTCAGGTCCTCTCTTCTAAGCATCATCTCTTCATGAAATGATTCTCCATAGAAGCATTCTATTTATCTTTTCAGTATTCCTAGTAGTCGGGGTTATCCACTTTGAACAAAGCTTGCTGCTTTTATATACCACTGAGTCAGAACTGATACCAGCTGACTCTCCAACAGGTTTTCAGAGGCTGTAAATCATACAGGAAGCTGTGCAGCTTGTGGATTTGAACCATGTACCTTTAGGATGGCAATGCAGCTCCTTACCCTTAGGCCATCAGGGCACCCTGCACACAGTGTAAGACTAAAAATATGACTGAATTCCTGTGTACTGTATTTCTTGTCGTGTGCATTCCAGGTGGAACTTACAGTTACCACCTCGAGTGACTTTTGAATTGTTTGGGGGGAAAAGATGTATTTTGAATGTCAGTATTGCCAGTACTTGTTGAAAAGATTTACTATACATGCAAGATAAGGGCGGCACACAAATATGTTTAGTGTGCCTATTTAAAATAATCCCGTTTTGTAGTTCCTCATTAATTCATGGCCTTATCTTTACAGATCCACAAAATGAACTTGACACAGGTTTTTAATTTTCAGCCTATTTATCTTGAAGAGCTAACCATTTGACTTCCTGGGCTATTTGATGGGGTGCAGAGTGGTGAGAACAGTCAGTAAAGAGGTGATTGTGTTGCTAGTTCCAGGGTTGTGGAGTGAACTCTGGTGGAATAGTGTTAAGAAGCTACACTGCAATCCAAAAGGCACATAGTTCAAATCTGCCAGCTGTTCTATGTGAGAAAAATAGGCAATCGCCTTTCTTGTGATAACTGCCTCTGAAAACTGGAGGGTCAGCCGTGAGTCAGTTCTCACTCACTGGCACACAACAGGATCCTGGTAGCCTGTGAATAAAGGGACTACGTTCTACTTTGCCCAGCACGTGGAAAAAGGAAGGAAGGAATAGAATCCAACTGAAGTACTCAATTTTATAAAAATGCATTTTATTTTAGAACAAATTTATAAAAAGTAGAAACTGCATATAAAAATACTGATTACTCTGATAGTGTATCAAAACAAGTTAATGACTAGAGTTTGGAAGTATTATACATCTGAGGGTGTCTGTACGTCACTTTCCTCCCAGAGCCTGTCACCAGTCCTTGTCATTCATCTGTAAACAATGATTTCAAGTAGTATCTTACAATAATTTCAAGTAGAAAAATTGATACATAATCGATGACTGCATCATATTCCTTAAAATAAATACTCTTCTGTAGGCCTAAGCCTGCAAAGCCACTTGATCTAATTGTAACGTTTGAAGGATAAGCTTAAAATAGTGATGACAGGAATGACAGGTTTTGTTCCGGTTATATTAGAAACAGGTGGAAAGTCATCACTTTAAAGAAACCAGCTTATGTTTTAAAGGCATAGTGTAATCCTTTTGCTGCGGAGCACCAGCTTTGGTTTTTAAAGCACCAATGCTATTGAATGGATTTCTACCTGAGTCCTAACCTTTATACTGGTATAAGCAGTGCTCACTGCTCTGGCAAGGACCTGCTGTATGTGCATCAGACAGGATGGACCTGTTTCAGCAACTGTACGTTCCGTAACTTTAGAAGATGTGGGCGATCACGCTGTTTTTTAAAAGCAACTTAAATACTTGATTCCAGAGTAATACAAAATTTGCCTCAGCCTTAGCAAAAGACGAAAACAGCAGGCAACTTGCATTTCAACACATTCTATACAGGGCTTCATTAGGAAAAAAAGAAAAAGTACCGGCTGGTTAATATCACCTTTCTAAAACGAAGCAGGTTATTTTAAAAGCTAAAGAACCCATGTTAAGATAATAGGATCATGAAGTTAGCGAGTCATGATTATATTCCCTCAATTAATTTAGAATTCTGGAAACGCAGTTTCAATTAAAAGATACCTCAAATTGATGTCATAAAACGTTCTTTAAGCTTCCAAATCCTACACCATTCTGTCCCTCTGTCCTGTTTTGCTTTTTAGATTTAAGGTGAATTCCATGGGACTATGTGTTCATACGGACCTAATCTCAAATCCAAAAATCAATGCTAAAATGCCTTTGCTTTTTTTCTTCTTCTGTCCCCAGAATAGGCTGTGTCAAATGCTATTATTCCCTTGCCATTCAGCTCACAGTACACACAGCTGCCGAGCTCGATCTTATAAAGCAATACTGACAAATTAAATAGGGGGGGGGGGTAAATCAAGTTACTACGAAAATGATGTACTATTGGTGATTCTTAGCTTGATTCTAAATAGACTTAATAAAAATAGCACTTGGAAGAGGTGGCTCAAATTCTGCCCTTACAGGCACTTTGAAACGTTAGGATGACCCGAGATTTCAAAAGCCGCCTTCGATTTTGAAAGGAATGGCAGACTCGGAGCTTCTACAGTCACTTCAAAGCAGCAGAACGTCATAATCTGCTCTCTCGAACCATCCTCTGATGCCTAGAAGCTTGCAGAACGAAGGCAAAAGAAAAACCTGAAATAAAAGCAGATGAAGGCTCCAAGCATTTGAGCTTCCTATCTATCAGCCCTGCTTCTGCATGGGACACCGTCTTTCAGGAAATGTTTCACGGACAACTGGACGTATGCAGCGATAGCCGACATTTGATGCCCCATATCTCCTGGTTCTTGGTGCTGCAAATAGTGGGCCTGGCAATGGGGCTGAAGTGGGAAGAATTAATCTGTAGATGAGGAAGCGCGTCCTTTAACACTTGAAGGATCCCGTCAGAAACAATTCCAAAAACCTGAAGTGTTTTTAATGTGGGAATTTCTCCAAGTTCACTGGAAAAGAAGAGAGAGACTTTCAGATGATCAGTGCCTAAGGAAACTGCTGTACTAGACTTAAACGACCCAATTTTAACACTCTATATAACATCTATATAACACTTTATATAACACTTTTATAACATCACAGTCTATAAAATGCAACCTGAAAAGATAATTTGCAATAAATTATTTGAGAAAATATCAGAAGTGAATTCAAAGATGGCGCTAAGACAAAGAGGCGCAATTTTGTTTAAAGAGGCTCACAATAATCTCAAGGAACCCCAAATGTATTTATTTAAATAGTCAATGATTTGCTTCCCTCAAGTCTTACTGTTATAAAGTGATTTAAAAAGAAGTGTTTGGTTATAAGTAGTAGTTAGGAAGCTTTGTTATGTGTCACTGTGTCGCCTGCAACTCATAGTAACCCTATGTACGTTAGCTCTGAAAGCTGCCTATCCTGCGCCAATCTCATTGCCTCCGACAGACCTAATGCCATTGCTCCAGTTACTGAGTCTTCCCCTCCTGTGCTGTACCTCTACCCTTCCGAGCAAGATGTCTCTAAGGACTGGTCCCTCCTGACTATATGCCCAAAATATGTGAGATGGAGCCATAAAATCCTTGCCTCAAGGGAGCAAACTGGTGCCACCCTCGCCAGGAAAGTCCTGTTTGTTCTCCTGGCCGTCCACGGTATATTCAACACTCTCTCCAGCACCACAGCTCAAAGGCCTCAATCCTTCTTCTATCATCCTTGGTTATTGTCCAGCTCTCTAATGCATAGCAAGTAACCGCGAAGACTATGGCCTGGATCAGGCGCACCTTAGTCTCCAGGTTGACTTTTCCAGTGCAATTCACCTTTTGATTTCTTGACTGCCAGTGCAAAGGCTACTGATTGTGGAACCAAGCAAGCTGAAGTTATCAACTATCTCTTCTCCATCCATCATGCCAATAGGCCCAGTGGTGAGAATCTGTTTTCCTGATGTTGAGCTGCAATTCATATTGAAGATTATACTCCTTTTCCTTCTGCAGCAAATGCCTCAGGTCCTCTTCAATTTCAGCAAGCAAAGTTGCATCACCTGTATAAGGCAGGTTGTTGATGAATCTTCCTCCAATCCTGATACCACATTCCTCCTCATAAGGTCTAGATTCCCAAATTATCTATTCTGCATATAGACTGAAAAGGTATGGAAATAGGAGGCACCCCTGAACCATGCAGTGTTTCCCTGTTCTGTTCAGACTATTGCTGGTCCGAATACAGGTTTTGCATGAGCACAATTAAGTGTTCTGGGATCCCCATTCTTCTCAGAGTCAGCCACAGTTTGTTGTGATCCACACAAACACCTTTGCATAACCAATGTAACACAGACAGACATTCCTTTAGTCCTCTCTGCTTTCAGCCAAGATACATCTAACATTGGCTATGATGTTCGTAGTGCCACGGCCTGTTCTAAACTCAGCCTGCACACCTGGCAGTTCTCTTCTGATGTTTCAGTCGTTTCTGGATAATCTTCATCAGGATCTTGATTGTGTGTGATATTAGTGATATCATTTGGTAATTTCCACACACTGTTGGGTCATCTTTTTTTGTAATGGAAATATATAAAGATCTCTTCCAGTCAGTTGGCCAGGTAGCTGTTCTCTAGATTTCTTGGCATAACTTGGTGAGCATCTAGTGACAGTAAAAGTAAATTCTCAACCATGTTATGTAGGCAATTTAAGCATTGTTAGGTGCCATCAAGTTGAGTGTGACTCACAGTGAGTGACCCTATGAACATAAAAGATCTGGACCTTGTTCTATCTTGTGACATCCTCACATTTCCTGACACACGAGCCCATTGCAGCAGCCACCGTGTCAATCAACCTGGTTGAGGGTCTTTCTCTCTTTGGCCAACCCTCCACCCTTCCCAACATTATGTCCCTCTCAAAGAAATAGCACCTCCTAGCAACATGCCCAAAGTATGTGAGGCAAAGTATCATCATTCTTGCCTCCAAATAGCAGTCCAGCTGCAGCATCTCCAAGACATATCTCTTGGTCATCCATGGATGTTCAGTGCTCTTCAGGAGGGTAAGTGTTTTTTATTTACTTGAAAGCTGGGTATAAACTGGGCCCCCTTTTTATTTTGTTTTACTATCAAGTATAAGTTGATTGGCTGTTTCTGATTTTTTAAACAATCAGTTGTGGGCTGGAAGCCTCTTGTTAAAGCAATCAGGACTGGGTGGTGGGCCTTTGTATTTAAAAGTTGGTTAAGGTCCTGCTGGTGTTAATTGTGTTTGGAGATAACATTGTTCTAAGTGGTATAGCACTTATTAGTCAGTTTGCTGTACTAAGATAACTTGGGGTTGCTGATACTGAAAGCTGTTCCACTGTTGTGTCAAATGCCATAAGGGTTACCCATGGTGGACGGGTTTTGGGGGGGGCTCCCTGAAACTAGGAAGCAGGATGGGCCATTTTTCTCCCAAGTAAATAACAGGTCTTTGAAAACCCTACGAATATTAAAGAAAGAGGGCAGTTATTCAAAGTAGGCTTTCTCAAAAGACATCAGGAGGGGTGACAAAACCTTAATAATGGTTACTAACAACAAGCCCATTAAACAATAATGACTCCCCCAAGATGCTTTAAGTAGTCATGTAGTTGGCTAGAGATGAAGAAAAGCTTTATTAAAAGGAAGTCTTTTTACCTCTCTATGTAATAACATGTTTTGGAGGATACTGCCCATCTGTCCCCAGCAAAGCAGCTGGTGGACTTGTACCACAAGCCTTTGGGTTGTCTGTATGTGTGCAGCTACCACAATTTTCTATTGTCAATAAGCTAACCTCTTAACTGTACTAGATGAATTCAACACTATAAACAGTCAATTCCTGGTTTGTTAAAAAAAAAAAAAAAAGAGCCCGTTCTACTAAAGTAAATACTTGTAGTAATGATCCAGCCTTCTTAACGCAGATCAATGTGCCTTGAAATCCCATCTCTCTGATCTATATTTGCTCCAGGTTGGGACACACAGTACAAAGTCTCAGAAGAGGGAATATTTATTTTGGAATTTCAACAAAATCCCACTTCAGATCAATGAACACATCAATGACCTTGAATTAGAGGCATCTTTTTATATTTTTACATTGTCAGTAATTCCTTTTGCAGCAAGAGTAAAAATCCTTCCTTATAATTTTCACCTTATCACTAATTTTGAATTCTTCCCAAGACATTCTTCTATGACTAGTTCCAGCTGTCATTACTCTTTTACAACATCTTTGATGTTCCTCACATGTTTCTGGAACCGTAAACACCCTCGGCTGGCATTAAGACATCCTGTTCTTACCTGCTTTTACACTTCCCCACTATCCCTCTAAATGTACCTCGTCTATATTCCAGTGTTTTCAGCACCACAGGCATTACCTAGGTTAGCTGACTGCAGAAAGAACATAATTTAGCAAATTAAAAAAAAACCCTCAAAGAAAAAATAATCTTGCTCTTCATAAGGGGAGAATATTATCTGGATTTCACACAGATAAAAATAAAAGAATCAAGAGGAAGAAATTGCTGTGCCCTTAAAATATACTATATTCTAGAACACAGATTGGAAGGAGTGGCATCCACTTCCTAAACAATATGCCTCTGGAAACTCTATGAACTTTGATAAATGTTGATAGTTATAGAAAGGCTTCAGGCCTTTTGTTCATAGTGTCGCGATGAGTTATGCCCGACTCGATGACAATCAACAACAGAACACGGAAATAGGAGTATGAAAAGAAAAGTGGTAAAACCTCACAAGTCATTGGTTAGTGTACATCATACTCAGTGTTTCTCAAGATAAATATTTTTTGCTATCATCTTTTTTTATTCGACTACCGAAGAGCCTTTGCAAACTATGGAATGGCAAAAAGGAACAGTTTAAGAGCCATTATTTCTAATCTAAGACATGTAAAATGACATTGATATTATTTTAAGTATCTTTGCTGGATTTTACTTCTGAAACTAAAAGATATTTTATAGACTCATATCTTTATCACAAGGACATACTCTTGTTTTCCTTACAAAACCTCAAACTCCCCAATTACAAATTCTTTAGGCATGTATGTTTTTAAGTTTGTACTAACCTCGGCTCAATTTGTATGTCTAGCTTGGGTTTCTTATTTGAATGAGAAATAGAGTAATTAGGACAAAAATTAGAACCGGTTCGAGAATAGGTCAATTATGGGATATAGAAATAATGTATACAATATGAATAGGCTTTTAAGGAAGAAAAAAAATATGTAAGTATTTAAAGTAGTAGTATTACAGGAGAAATACACACACATTTTGTTTCCCCACACCAGAGAGGAGAAATAAATAAGCTTAAATTCTTTAGCATCAATGGCTCTCTGAAAATGAATGACAACACAGTGTTACGTTTTTACTGGGCATTTTATATATGTCAGCTGCCACAATGACAGAAATGAGGAGGAAAAATTTTTACCTTGAGAAATTTCTTAATGTTAGATAAACAGCACTCTCTTGAAAAGGTTCAGAAGGTAAATTATTACACTATTGCCCTAACAGGAAGTTGGAGTGGTGTAATCTGCAACATGTTGCTCTGCTAACCAAAAGGTCAGTGGTTCGAACCTATCAGCAGCTTGTCAGAAAGATGGGCTGTCACCTCCCATTAGGATTCACAGCCTTGGAAATCCAATGGAGGACTGCTAGGAGTTGGAACACACTCAATGGCAGTGAGTGAGTTTACATGATGCCTAAAAAAAATATACTCTTTTTACCTAAAAGTTCAAAGACAATCTTCCTCTTAATCACAATTTCATGTGAGGGTCTGACTTCTACTGAGTTTCTATTGCCCCAATTTCTCTTATTTTAAAACCAAAACACCTATTGGCACCGAGCCATTTCTGACTCACAGTGACTCTCCACCAAGCTGAACTACAAAAGACTTTTTTTAAAATGGTAAGAAGCAAAGAGGCTATTTTGAAGACTAATGTGCCCCTGACTCGTCAAAGTATCTCAATCGCTTCATAGACTTGCAAAAGCAAAGAATGAAAGAGGCCCAAAGATCTGACGACCCCGATCATGGTTCCGACGAAGAATATCATGCATTGTCCGAAGAACAAATTTGCCTATAAAGAAGTGCAGGTAGAGTGCTCCTTAGACACAAAGCATGTTTTACCAGGAGGGATGAGTCCCTGAGGACAGGAAAAGTAGTGGGTTATAAAAAAGTAAGGAAGAAAGTCAGTGAAAGAGGGGACGACCCGCAGTAACACATCAACAGTGACTGCAACAAATAAAACGGAAATCGTGGTACAGGACTGGGGGTTTCGCTGTTATACAAAGGGTTGCTCTAACAAGGTGGCCCATAGCTGTGGTCCTATGAAGAAATAGGGTTTTCTTTCTCTTCTTAATGAGGTCAGTATCATCTCAAGGTATGTCTCAAGCCTAGTGAATTCTGAGTTACAGAGCAGATTCCACACAGAGGAGGCACACAGACAGTGCAAGAGACAGATGGCAGGTGAAGGCAGGTCCCCAAGGAACCAAGGGCTACCGATGAGGAAGGAGCAGCAACTGGGAAGCGGTGGATATGGACGACTGGACAGGGAGCTGAACTCAAACGGGGGTGGTTCAAATCCACCAGCTGCTCCTCGGGAGAAAGATGGGCTTTCCTCTCCTGGGCGAGTTACAGTCTCTGACTCACAGTGACTCTCCATCGGAGATGGATCTCCACTGGGTGATCAGCTATGAGTTGGTTCCAACTCGACCGAAATAAATCCTGAGGGCTTTTGTAGCCTCTAGAACTGTGAGAAAACACATTCTTGTAAAGTCACTCACTTGTGGCATTTCTGCTGCAGCTGTAACAGGGACAGTATGTGACCAAATGCTAGAAACTGGCTTATCTTAGTTTTCAGTGAAACTGCCATTTATAGTTGAAATCAGGGAGACTTTTCCACCCTCTGGGCTGGAACACAAGAAAACAAACAGGTTCATCCTGGAGAGGGTGAAACCCGGTTGCTCCTTGGAGGCAAAGATTGTGAAATTCTGTTTCACATATTTAAGGCATGTTGCCAAGAGGGATCAGTCCTCAGAGAAGGACATCATTCCAGGAATGATAGAGGGTCAGCTCAGGAGAGGAAGACCCGCATTGAGATGGACGGACACAGTGACAATGGCAATAGGGTGTGTTGGAGATGGTGAGACTGGCCCATGACAGGCAGGGCTCCGAGTTACACAGGTCACTATGTGTCATAGTCGACTTGATGGCACTGAACAACCACCACAGTGGTACAGTGTTAACATGCTATACTACTAATCCAAATGTTAGCAGTATGAAGCTCTATGGGACAAGTCAAGCAGTCTCTTTTAACAGTTCCCAGCCTTGGGAAATGAATGAAGGGTCACTATAAAGAATTGATTTGATGGCAGTGGGTTTGGTTCTTTGAGTTTAGGTTAGAATTAAAGGGAATCTTTTTTTAAAGACTCTTGTTGTCATGTGTTGTCGAGTCAGAACCAACCCATAGCTTTGCAGAGGCTGTAAATCACATGGGAGGAGACTGAGATTGCCCATGTTTCTCCCATGGAGCAGCTGGTGGTTTCAAACAGCATGCCTTTGGGATTGCAGCACAGCTTCTTACCAGTCATTATTTCTTACCAGTAACAGGCCACCAGAGCTTCCTGTTATTCCCAGGATGACCCGAATACAGTGCTCTATCAAAGAAAGATGGATGGCATTCCTACAATTTTGTAAATTGCTGAACAGGTTTTTTTTTAAAAAAAAACAACAACAACCAAAAAACCAAAACCCACAAAAGACTTTGTATAGGTCATGAAATCAGAAACAGAAAGAATTATTTGCCTGTGTTCAGAAAACATAAATTCTAGATTCAACTAAACATTGACACTCTGCAGCTTTGTACAAATAATTCCACTTAGTTGGATCTCAATTTCCTTAAGGGGGCACTGGATTCTTAGGATGTATACCGTCACATGCTCCCATTCTTTCTGCTTGACCAGCCAGAACAGGTATCACTAAAAAATTTCAGAACTCTTCTGAGAGCAGGTTCAAGTTCACAGCAAAAGGCATTGGGAGTCAACTACTGCTGAATTGAAAAATATGGAAATACAAGAACAACAAAAAAATACCCGAGTCTGCTTCCCAATTACATTCTGAGTACCCCCCTTTTTTTGGTAATCTCGCTACAATTTAAAACCAGACCCACCACCATCCAGTTGTTTCTAACTCACAGGAACCCTCAAGCCCATGGCCAACAAGTAGGAACTCTGGTGGCCCAGTGGTGAGAAGCTATACTGTAATCCCAAATCATGTGGTTCAAACCCATCAGCTACTCTACAGGAGAAGGATGGACAATCTCCTCGTGTGCGATTAAATGCCTCTAAAAACCCACTGGAGGGTCAGCTAGGGGTCGGATGTGACTCTATGGCACACAACAAACAACTAGAACACAGCCAACCTGCCAACAAGTCTCTAATTACATGGGAGAAGACTGTCCAGCTTTCTCCCACAGAACCACTGGAAGAGTTAAACTGCTAAAGCAACAAAGACTTTAGGTTAATACTGTAACTCTTTACAGACTACACAAACAGAGCTCCCTATGACAGAACAGAATGCCTCACATAATTTCTGAGGCTGTAACCTTTATAGAAGCAGAGGTTTCACCCTTCTCCCAAGGAGCAGATGGTGGATTTGAACTGAACTTTGCTCTATCAACTCAAAGCTTAATACACTGCATTCACTAGCCCAGTACTCTAATAGATAAGCCTGCTCACTGCTCAGCAGCAAAGGTTCAGTGAAACTTCACCTACAACTTCTCCAGACCATTTACGTAAAAACTCGGCTTAGATAAAAACTTGCTGTTCTTTCCTTACCGTTTGTCATACACTGAGAGTGAAGCTTATGGCGTAAACGTCTACTATTATTAATATGAACACCAAGTAATGTCTCTTTTTATTCCCTGCCCCTTCTTAGCTTTAAAGGGAAAAAATGTATATATACTTACAGTAAGTTTTCGGGTATTATGTCATAGCACCGACTGAGTGCCAGGTGTTGGAGAAAGCTGAGCTGGTGAAATTCCTGGAGGCAGTCATTCTTTAGCAAGACACTGTCACTAGAACAGAGCACAAGAAAAGCATTTCACAATCTGTTCCCCAGCCTCAAAGTGGTGGAGACAGACACAGCCTGCTGTTCAGTTTCTTTCATTCAGCAGTAAGGTTTCTTTTCCCCCCCCAATGAACAAATCATGCTTTTCCAAATCTTGCTCTAAAATAAACAAAATCATACCTTAAATCGAGGTGGACAAGATTGGGGCATCTTCTAATGAGGGTAGAGACATCTAAGGAGAGAAAACAGGATGGTCACTAAGTGAGGACAGAAAAGGGCCCCACTATCACTATTACCATTTAACGCAGTGTCAAGACATGATCCTAACAGGGAGGTGCTGCCGAGCCAATATGGACACACAGTCACCCCATGCGACAGGGGGCACTGCTTCATATGGTTTTCTAGGCTGTAATCTTGACAGGAGTCAATTTCTTGCTCTTTTTCCTGCAGCCGGTGCATCATTTGAACTGACAAATGTTCAGTTAATAGTCAAGTGTTTGATCATTGAGCTACCTCTGCAGATATAGTAGAAAGAAATTTGTCATCTAAGGTGCGCCTGATCCAGGTTATGGTCGTCACAATTACTTGCTATCCATCAGAGAGCTGGAAGATGACTAAAGATGACAGAAGAATCCATGCTTTTGAGTTGTTCTGGAGAAGAGTATTGAGTATACCATGGATTGCCAAGAGAACAAAGAGGTCTGTATTGGAGAGGGTGAATTTGTTCCCTGGAGACAAGGATTTTGAAGCTCCATCTCACATACATCGGGCATGCTATCAAGAGGGGTCAGTACTTCGAGAAGGACATTATGCTTGAAAGGGTGGAAAGAAAGCACAGGAGAGGAAGACCCTGGAAGAGATGGATTGATAGAGTAAATGGGTTAATGATAGTAGGTGTGCCGGAGTCAGTGAGACTGACTTAGGACAGGGCAAGCATCAGAACTGATGGACATCACACTTGGAAGAGTGGAGGGACAATGCAGGAGAGGAAGACCCTGAATGAGTTGGACTGATAGAGGAACTAGGGCAATGGGGGTTGGTGTATCTGAGTCAGTGAGACTGGCTCAGGACAGGACAGGCTTCAAAGCTACTGAACATAGGGTTGTTATGAGTCGCAGGCAACTTGACAGTGTATAACAACAACAGAGCTGTTGTACATAGGGTCACTATGAGTCACAGGTGACTAGATGGCACATAACAACTACAGCAACCAAAAAAACTCTACTCAGAAAATCCTAGACAACCATCTGTGAAACTACTGAAATTGGCTAGAGAAGAGTGTACAATGACTGTTAAGAGCAATCCATACCTTGTCTTTGTAGCAGCAAAAGTTGGCTGGTAGAGAAGGGCGGGCGGGGGTGGGGGTGGGGGATCTCATTTGCATTTCATTTGCCCAGTGCCACAGAACCAAGACTGACTTAGAGCCCAGCAACTATACTGCACAGAGCAGAACTGTCCCACAGAGATGCCACTGAAGTATTGCAACATCTCATGGCATGAAATGGACTCAGGATCTGTATAGTGAAAACAAAACAATGCCTTATAATCTTGATTTCCTTAAAACACCAGCAAGAAGGGGTGGCCAGGGAGGAGCAGCTGAATGGAAACAGATCAAAATGTCAATCGTAGATTTTAAGAGTGGTGTCTCACAAATGACTTCTGAGAATTTGATGCTTCTAAGAATAGGAAAATGAACCAATGTTACCTACTGGAGAGGGGGGGGAAAGTCACGACAAACAATGCAAATGTGAAGGTATTTGAGCTTTTTTCCCCCCGTCCTTGCAGCTATATCTCTACATTCCTTTTCCTGAATCTTGGACTTAAATTCATTGCTGTTAAGTCAGAACTAGCTCATGGCTGACCCTCCAGCAGGTTTTCATATGTGAGATGGGTTATCTCTCGAGGAGCAGCTGGCGGATTTGAACGTCCTGCTTTTGGGTTGGCGGTGCAACTCCTTACCCACTATGTCACCACAGGACTATTTTTCTCTTTCTGTTGCCAAACTCTCTTATGTCGGTCTTTAAACTATTCCCATATTTGATCATTTTATAGACTTCTCTACTCAAAACACAGCTGATCCTTAATCATCAATGAGCTAGGGAAACTGACCTAACATGAAATTGAATGTCCACCTATAATTTACAGTGTAACTATAAGTCACACAAGATTGAACTGCAAGTGCCCGTTTATAACCGGAATTTTTTCCCTATTACTGCTGCAGTGAGTTCAAAAGCTGAGAGTATCTCAGAGCTGTGTGGTCATCATCTCCACATAAGCGCCAGCTCATCCCGTCTGGCTCCATCACTGGAACAGAAGTTTCAGAAGGCTGACTCTATCTGTTTTGCTCAAGGCCACATTTTCCAGCAGGGCGCAGGGCTTCCGGCATAGTAGGCACTTACTAAACATTTGTTTAGTGAGCGACCCAAACCAAGTGGAAAGTGACAGAGGGCAGACAAGCGTATGAAAGTAGTGAACATTTTAAAAATGGGAAGTGTTTACTTAAAAATAAAAATGGAAAAACAAATTTTAAATAAGAACTTTTTTAAAAAAATCTCTGCTTTTCCCATTTATGGAAAATAGGAACTGCATTGGAACATGTATCTCTGGATTGGAAATGATGATATTACTATTTCTAGCCTTAACATTAAAAGATTAGAATGTTCAAAATTATTTGTTATACATTTGTTTAAATCTTTCCCTCTTTTAAAAACTGAGATCTAGAGGGAAGAGAAAAGACCAGAGAATGGCCAAAATTATTGGGGCAGTTATTACTGTCAGTTTAGGGCCTGTGTCAGGAAAAGCAAATCTTACTCATATACAGTGCCACCCAAAGGTAATAAAGGAGGTCAGAATTGCTTCCACTGTGGAAAGCTGGGCCACTTCAGCAGACAGTGTCACAGACGAGAACCACAGATAGGCAAGGGAGTAGAGAGGAAGCTCCCACTCACTTGCTTAAAGGCGGCCCATATCAGGTCCTCGTGGCTGACAGGACTAACAGGCCCCAGCTCCCAGCTGGAAACAAAGGAGGGCGCTTCAATGATTTAGATCCTCCCAGAAGAGCTGTGGGTGAGCATTAACATTACTGGTAAGTATATTCATTTTCTCCTGGACACAGAGCCTACTAATTGGCCCTAAACACCTTCTGAGGTCCCAACTCTTCTCACTATTTCTTAGTTGTTGGAATGGACGGAAAACCTCATAAGCAGTTCCTTACTTCACCTTCTGCCTTGCATGTGGACTTCCGAGTTGTAAAACAACCCAGTGGTAGATGGAATTTGCTCCAGGACTTAAGAACAGTAAATGACATAGCTGAGCCTCTACATCTTGAGGTTCCTAACCTCTATACTATAAGAGACAAAGTGTTAGTCAATAGGCCTTTTATTGTAATAACCACCTTCCCTCTGTAACTTGATTTATGCCACTATTAGAACCTCTACTCAGAATATTATTGCTTTTTAATTTTTGACTCATGTACTTTTAACTTGTTAGCTAAATTTGCGTCTTCTATGCTGCAACACTTCCATGATACATCTTCAAGGATATGAACATGTATGGCTAAGCACAATTGATAACAGTGCATCTAAATTCCAAAATCAATCTCCATAATAGTCTATGTTTCCTATTGCCAAAGGGGCCCTTTAGAGTAGTGAGAGAAGATCTTCACCCTGAAACCTACAGTGTCCCTTTTCAGCAGGAAGTAGCTAAGAGAATACACCATCCCCTTTTCCTTAAAATCAGGGTGAAGTCTCTCTCAGGGAGGAGTGATAGGGAATGGCAAAGGACACACTGACAAAGGAGATTAATCAGAACTGGCTTTGACAAACACTGTGGCAACTGGACAATTAAAACAGACATTAAAGGGCAGGGGGGAAGAAGAACGAACTGAGGAGGAGGGTAGAGAAAACAGTGCAACAATGAATGAATGAAAACCCATAATCTCTGTAAATGTTCATGTTCACTAAAACTAATAAAAAAAAATTTCTGCTTTTCAAAAGCATTTTTTTCCCATATAAATGAAAGCAGCTGAGGACAAGTACATAAAATTATACTCCTTTATGATAAATTCAAGCTTAGGAAAAAAAAAAAACACTTACAAACATCTTTTTCTCAAACTCATCAGCTGTTCTGTGGGAGAAAAATGGGCAATATCCTCCCACGTGATTTATGGCCCCTGAAAACCCAACAGGGTAAACTACGTGTCAGTTCCGACTCAAAAGCACACAATGACATTGTTAGTAATATTTACTACTGACAGTGGGCTGTTGTTGCTGATGCCACCGTATCTGTATATTTATTTGTAATGTTTGCAATACCAAAGACAAAGACTGGAGTTAGAAAGGCAAGTGGTAATAAAACACATCAACAATATCTTAAAAGAAAAAAAGAGGTTTTCAACTTAAGGCTGAAAGAATGGAATCATATTATCCTGAATTAAGGATGACCTGTTTAACCTTTTGGAGAAAAACACTGCACTTTGTCAACAACTTCATTTTTACTTGGATCTAAAATCAATACCCAGGCAGCAGCAGTAAAGAAATCAAAGACTCATGGCACTGGGAAAATCCATTGTCAAGGATTTCTCCAAAGTGTTCAAGAACAAGGATGGCAGCTTAAACACTAAGGTGCACCTAATCCAAGGCATACTCTTTTCAATTATTTCCTATGCATCTGAAAGTGGGACAATGAAAATGGATGACAGAAGAATTGGGTCTTTGAATTGCAGTGGACCGCCAAACGAATAAACAAGTTTTTCTTGGAGGAAGGAAGCCGGGATGCTGCTTTGAGACAAAGATGGTAGAACTTTGTTGCACATACTTTGGGCATATTGTCAGGAGAAGCTAATCTTAGAAAAAAGTGCAGAGTAGAAAGAGAGGATGACCCTCAAGGAGGTAGACTGACAGGACGACTTTAACAAGGACCTTAGCACAAGGTGCAGATTCACAGGGTTCTTATGACTCATAGGCAACTCCATGGCACCCAACAACAACAGTAATATCTGCATGGGAAGTTGGACAATAAAGATCAAAAAAGGAGTGATGCCTCTGAATTAACGTGTTAGCAAAGAATAATAATGGCTATCCCATGGACTGCCATAAAAAGAAACAAATGTTTTGGATAACGTTCAGCCAAAATGCTCCTTAGAAGCAAAGATGCTGAGACTTTGTCTTACATACTTCTTGTGAGTTATCAGTATGGGCCAGAGCCTGGAGAAAGATTAGCTTTTAGACAGTCAGTGAAAAAGAGGAAGGTCCTCAACGAGATTGCAGGCACAGTGGTTGCAACAATGGACTAAAACAGAAATCAAGTGTGCGGATGACACAAGACTGGGAAGTGTTTAACTCTGCTGTATGAACTGCAGCTAATGCTCATGGCACTTAACAATGAAAATGTCCACATCATCGAAAGCGCAAGCATTTGGAAACAGCAGGGATCAAAGTATGGGCAAAACACTCAAATCCCTGATCGCTCAGAAGATTCTGGGCTAGAGTTTGCTACAGCCTGCTTCAACTTCCTTACCCAGAAGAAGTTTTCAAAAGTTATTTCAATTTCAAGTTGTCTTCTGCAAATACTTGATTCTAATCTTTTTAAATATTTAGAAAAAAGTTATAACAAGCATGTTGTCAGAAGGCATCAGCCCTTAGAAACAGACAGGTGGGAAAAGTAGAGGGTCAGTAAAAGAGGACTCTCAACGAGATGAAGGGACATCAGGACTGTGACAATGGGCTTGAGCGTGGTGGTGCATATAGTGAGGACGGTGCAGGATAGGGCAAGGTTTGAACCTGTTATTCATAAAGTTGCTGAGTCATTGTAGACTCTGCGGCACCTAACAACAGTAGCAAACAAAACACCCACACTCCAATATGTTAATACACCAGCATCAACTTCAAGAAAAGGTTTGTGTGTGTATGTTTGTGTGTGTGAGGTTAACTCAATTAGGTGATGTCCACATGTTGAAAACGAGCCTGTGGTGGTATGTTAGAACCACTGAATAATTGTCACCATTTGTAATGATTTAGCATTATAAATCAATATTTTTTTCTTAATATTACACAAATTATTCTTTCATCCCTATGAAGCTGATATGGACCCTAGCTGATAATGACATAGCACATTTCCCCCATAGGGTCCGAAAGCTATAAATCTTTATGAGAGGTGAGTGCCCAGAATTCTGACACACAGCAGTGGGTGGATTTGAACCACAGACCTTTGGGTTAGCAGGCCAATATGTAATATACTACATTACCAGGCTTCCCAGGCTGTAAATCTGAACGACAGTAGATGGTCTTATCTCTTTCCCATGGAGTAGCCGAAGATTTGTAACCTACTACCCCACCAAGGCTCCTGTCTGGAACTAAAGTAAAGCTAATTAACAATGGTATGCACTAGTTCTACTGAACGAAGAGGGTGATGCCAAGTTTCTCCTTGGAGGCTAAGATTTTGAAGCTCCAGCTCACATACTTTGAGCACAGAGCCAGGACATCATGTTAGAAGCATGGAGGGACAATGCAGGAGAGGAAGACCGTGAACAAGACAGATTGATAGAGTAACTTAGATAATGGGGGCCAATGTGTCAGAGTCAGTCAGACTGGCTCAGGACAGAGCAAGCTTTAGAGCTCTTGTACAGAGGGTCACTATGAGTCGCAGGCAACTCGATGGCACATGGCAACATGTACTAGTTCTGATTTAATCTACTAATTCAACTTATAGACATACATAGGAATGATATCTTGTTCACAACCAGACACTGTGTAACTGGTTACCTTTCTCTGTTTTTATCAACGAATCAACTCATCTGTAATGTGATAATAATTACAATGTACACAGGATTCAATGAAACTACTTAAAGGAAGTAGCATTTAGAAGATGCTCCATCCACCAGATCTATGCTAGGGGATCTGTTCTAGAGAAACTCTGATGGCATTGTCTGTAGGGAGAGGTGTGATGATACCTCACAGGCTGGCCTCTCTGATGGTTCAAATCCACCACTGGCTCCCTGGGAGAAAGATGGGCAATCTCCCATGCTATTTACAGCCTCAGAAAACCAACAGAGAGTCAATTATGAGTCGGTTCCAACTGGACAACAGTGAGTCAGTCCACTAGCATTCCTGTTGCTGCTGCTGATAAGGCCCCTCCCCAACATGGCTCTCACCTGACTTCTGTAGATTTTTTCGGTAGCCGCTAAGATTTAGCTGGGTGATGGTCTCTGATACGTGGGCCACGGCCACCTGCACATGCTGCTCACTGAAGTCCAAGCACCAGGAGAGATTCAGTTCATTCAACCTGTACAGGAGATGAGCCACAGGAAAGCACGACACCTCCGTGAGGAAACAGGTTCTCCAGAACACCACTCTCTGCTTAGTTGTCTTTATATATCATGATCATCAAGTCGATTCCGACTGAGAGTGAGCCCACAGGGCAGAGCAGAAGCGGCCCAGCAGTCTTCCAAGGCTGTAATCTTTGCTGGAGCTGCCTGCCCAGGCCTCCCCTGCCACAGGGTGGCTGGTGGTTTGAAGCACCAAACTATGAGTTAGAGGAAGACTTAACACAAACAGGAAGAAGAGCTCTCACTTTATCATGCTGGCCCAAGAGGGGATCGGCTCAAAGCATTGCCTAAACCTACAGCAAAAATGCTAAGCTTCACATTTCTTAGCCTTTCTGCAGAGAATTTCTCAAAGCAACTACTTTTGCTCCGCTGAGAGCACCTGCTCTTGTCCTGAACGCTCTCCGTCCACCCAGTTCCTCCCTGAACAGAGCCAGACCTGAGAGGTCTTAGTGGATGCTGCCCCCTTCTGGAAGTAGAAGGGAGCACTCTCCTCTCCTGTCCTGACCCAGTATTTTCTTTCTCAATCACCCAGGCAGGTGTGGTCGGTCAGCAATCACAAAGCTGAGCTGTGCCAAATCAATCCACAGATTATTCTGGGGACGCGTCATAAAGAGCAGGTGATGTTGCAAACTGCCACTCCGTCTGGGTTAGCAGCGCAACATGCTACCAACTGAGCCACCAGAATTCTGAAAAGCCACGTCATCGAACTCGCCTTGGCTGCCAGAGACAATGAAGGCTTCAAAGACAACATTCTTTCCTCCTCATCTCTAACATTCCTGATTAAAGATTAAAATGCAAAAACTCATGCTGTCTGTTGCTTCTGGCTCACAGTGCCCTTCACTCAGGCTGTGTGGCTGGGATTCCCACGGGAGAAACCTGCCCAGCTTTCTCCCCAAGGCTGCTGGTGGATGAACTGCAGGAGATGAAGTGCACCTTGCTCCAGACTCCACCACCAGAGCTCAGGGCTGAAGACAGGGCTATCCACTTTACCTTTGTTTGTTCTTATTGTTGATTGCCATCGGCTAGACTCATGGCCACCCTATGA